GGAGGGTGCTAGTCTCTCCACACCCTCACCAGCATTTTTTGTTTTCTGTTTTCCAACTTTGCTATTAATGCTGGGGTGAGATGATATCTCATTTTTGTTTTGGTTTGCATCTCTCTAATAGCTAATTGGGAGTCCTGGTGTGGCACTGCAGGATAATGCACTGGACCTCAAGGTCAATTTGAGCCATAAGATCAGTGGTTCAAACCCACCAGTCGTTCTTCAGAAACCCTATACAGAGTCACTATGAGCCAGAACTGACTCGATGGCACTTAACAACAACAATGGCTAATTAGAGTAAAGCCTTTTGACTGTGTGGCTCATGATAAACTATGGATAACATTATGAAGAATAGGTATTCCCTAACGCTTTACTGTGCTCATGAGGAACCTGCACGTAGACCAAAAGACAGTCATTTGAACAGAACAAAGTGATACTGAATGGTTTAAAATTAGGAAAGGTGTACACCAGGGTTGTATTCTGTCACCATACTTATTCAATCTGTATGCTGAGCAAATAATCTGAGAAGCTGGATTATATGAAGCAGAACATGATATCAGGATTGGAGGAAGACTCATTAACAACCTGGGATATGCAGATGATATAGCGTTGCTTGCTGGAAGCTAAGAGGACTTTGCTCCTCAGTAAAAGAAAGGGAAATGCTCACAACTGGATCAATAAACAGCATCATGATAAATGGAGAAAAGATTGAAGTTGTCAAAGACTTCATTTTGCTTGAATCCACAATTCACACTCAAGCAAGCAGCAGCCAAGAAATCGAACCTTGTATTGCATTGGGCAAGTCTGGTGCACAAGACCTCTTTAAAGGGTTAAAGAACAAAGATGTCAGTTTGAAGACCTGAGCAATGGTATTTCTAATCACCTCATACACATGCGAAAGTTGGACAGTGAAAAAGGAACACCATAGAAGAATTGATGCATTCGAGTTATGGTGTTGGAGAAGAATATTAAAAGTACCATTGACTGCCAGAAGAACAAACAAATCTGAGTTGGAAGAAGTACAGCCAGAATGTTCCTTAGAAGCCAGAACGGTGAGATTTCATCTCTTATATACTTCAAGAGACATGTTATCAGGAGGAACCAGTTCCTGGAGAAGGACATCATGCCTGGTTAAGTGGAAGGTCAGCAAAGGAGAGGAGGACCCTAACAGGATGGATTGGCCCAGTGGCAGCAGTAATGGGCTCTCATAATGTGCTTAACAACAACAGCAAATTATGGATTATACCTCAACATAAAAAAAAATAGAAATCCTCACAGTGGGACCAATAAACAACTTCATGATAAACGGAGGCAGCTTAAAGTTGTTAAGGGTTTCATTTTACTTAGAGCTACAGTCAGTGCCCATGGAGGCAACAGTCAACAAATCCAATGACCAAAAACCAAACCTACTGCCATCAATTCAATTCCAACTCACAGAGACCCTGTTGTTGTTGTTGCTAAGTGCCATGGAGTCAGTTTTGACTCATAGTGGTCCTGTATAGTGTTTCCAAGTAGCGACTGGTAGGTTTGAACTACCGACCTTTTGGTTAACCATCAGGTGCTTATCCTACAGTGCCACACCAGGGCTCCTATTGTTGTTATTGTTAAGTGCTGTCAAGTCAGGTCCCACTCATAGCAACCCTGTATAAGGTGTCCAAGGAGCAACTGGTGGATTTAAAGCACTGACCCTGTGATTAGCAGCCCAGTGTTTATCCTACATCCACACACCAGGACCCCAGGGCTCCTATATGGTTGTTAAGTGCCCTCGAGTCAGTTCTGACTCAGAGTGACCCTGCATAAGGTTTCCAAGGAGCAGCTGGTAGATTTGAACTGCTGACCTTGTAGTTCACAGACCACATCGGATCCTAAGTGCTACACCAGAGTAAAAGGTCACCTGGTGTAACATAGTCCATAAAGACAACAATCTACATCCTACTTTGGTGAGTAGCAACTAGGGTCTTAAAAACTTATGAGTGGCCATCTAAGATACAACTACTGATCTCTTCCTGTCCAAAGTAAAAAAGAGTGAAGCAAATCAAAGACTCAAAGTCCGAAGAACTAATGGCCCTCATGAACTACAGCTTCCACAAGCCTGAGACCAGTACCTGCCTACCACTAATTACTGCTCTTACAAGAATCACAATAGAAGGTTCTGAACAGAGAGAAAAATGTAGAACAAAATCCAGATTCATCAAAAGTCCATACTTACTGGTCTGATAGAGACTGATGGAAGGCCCTTAGACCCCTTCTAACTTAGAACTGGCCTAGTCCTGGAGATCACCAGATAGCCACATAATAAGGAGGCCTATAAATTAAACGGACTTCCGGTGTGGCACTGTAGGATCAGCACTGGATTACAAATGACAGGTCACAAGTTCAAACCCACCAGCTGCTCCTTGGAAACCCTATACAGAGTCACTATGAGTTGGAACTGAGGAATGCTGCTCAGAAAACTCAACTATATGAGATCAAAAGGGCAAAATTTACCCAAAAGCAAAATTTAGAAGGCAGGAAGGGTCAAAAAACCTGGGCAAATGGAAACAGGAACCTAGGATGGAAGTGGGGGTTGCAACCAAAGTCACAAAACAATCTATAACATGTATAAATTTTTTAATGGTAAGTTAATTTGCTTTGTAAGCTTGTACCTAAATCACAGCAAAATTTTAAGATAGATAGAAAAGAATAAATAGCTGTAAAGTGGGGAGAAAACCAAAAAGAATAGAAACCAAACATTGCATTGGGCAAATCTGTTGCACAAGATTGCTTAAACCTGGTAAAAAGCAAAGATACCACTTTGAGGACTAAAGTGTTACTTGACCCCAGCCGTGGTGTTTTCAGGCACCTCATATACATGCTAAAGCTGGACAATGGACAAGGAAGACCACAGATGAATTGATGCATGTGAATTATGATGTTGATAAAGAATATTAAGTATTGTTATGGACTGCCAGAAGAACGAACCAATCTGTCTTGGAAGAAGTACAGCCAGGATGTTCTAAGAAGGGAAACTTTGTCCCATGTATTTTGAACATGCTATCAGGAGGGACCAGTTCCTGGAAAAGGACATCTTGCTTGGGAGAGGGTCAGCGAAAAAAGAGAAGACTGTCACGGAGATGGATTAACATAGTGTTCAACAAGGAGTTCAAACATCGCAGTGATTGTGAAAGTGACACAGGACTGGGCATTATTTTGTTCTGTTGTACACAGAGTCACTGTTAGTTAGAACTGACCCAATGGCACCTAACAACAAAAATAATAATAATAACCTACCAACAAACATCTGCCAGGTTGTCATACTATTGTGGTTTGCATGTTGCTATGATGCTGAAAGCTGTGCCACCAATATTTCAAATACCAGCAGGGTCACTCATGGTGGACAGGTTTCAAAAAAGCTACCAGATTAAGACAGACTAAAAAGAAAAAGTCTGGCAATCTAAGGCTCAAACTGAGCCAGTGAGGACCCTATGGAATAACAACAGAACATTGTCCAACAGAGAGCTGGCAGGTGACTCCCTCAGTTGGAAGGCACTCAGATACCCAACAGCCTTAGCAGTGGACTCGAGGTAGACAGCTATCATGGAAAAGGTGCAGAACAGGGAACGTTTGTTCTGTCCTACATGGGGTCGCCATGAGTTGAAGCTGACTAGATGACAATTAGCAATTAACTTTGGTTTTAATTAACATAGACCCAGAAACTTCAGATGAAGGAGCCTTTTGATATGCAGCTGAGTTCAGTGAAGTAAAATGAGTGATAATGTTTTGAACTTGGAAACCTATAGCTTTCATTCCTAGGACTGTTTTCCCTAAGAGCTTATTTTGTAGCCTATTGTTGGGCTTAGTACTTGAGGAATCTTAATGGTTTGGGATATGAAGGCTTCCTAGTCTTAAAGTGCCATAAAACCCATAAAGCAATCACCTAAGCTCTCTGTGCCCAGTCTGTGACATGGCAAACAGCACCCCATCTCACACTTTCGTAGATCTTGCATGAACCAAGACAAAGAAAGCATATCCACAAACTCATTTTTTGCATAAACATTTATAAAATTTTACTGTTAAAAAATATATATCAAAACATTTTCCACTTTATTTATTTAAATGTAGAATACATTGGCATTAATTACCTTTGCCATGGTGTGTAACCATCATCACTATCCATTTCCACAAGTTTTCCATCACCCTGAACAGGAATTTAGAACCCCTTAAGCAATATCCCCCAACACTGCTGTGGCACTATAGAATAAGCACAGTCAGTGGTTCAAATTCACCAGCCGCTTCTTGGAAACCCTATACAGAATGGCTATGAGTCAGAAGCAACTCGACGGCATTTAACAACAACAATCCCTTGCAATCACTAATACACGTTTTTCTCTCTGTATTTGACAAGATGTTTCCTATAAGTGGGATCATAGACTCTTTGCCCTTTTGTGTCTGACTGATTTTACTCAGCATCATGTTTTCAAGGTTCATCCATGTCATGTATTGTACACGCATTTTGTAACACGTCAAGGTTTTCTTACTGGGGGTGGGGAGGGTGACAAAGGTTATATCCCTAAACATGGAAATAGATTTATTGAAACATTTCTTTTTTTGTTTTGCTTTAACAAACAGAAATTTATTTTCTTACAGTTTAGGAGGCTAGAAGTTTGAATTCACTGTGCCGGTTCTAGGGGAAGTTTTCTTTCTGTTGGATCTGGAGGCCTGTCCTTGTCTCCTTTCAACATCTGTGCACCCAGTGTGCCTTGGAGATATCCATGTGTCTTGGCATCAGTCTTCCCCTGGGTCTGGGAGGGTCTCAGCACAGGGACCCTGGGTCCACAGATACGCTCTGCTGCTGGCTCCTCTTTCTTGGTAGTAGTTAGGCCCCTCCCATTAAGAGATTTCTTGGTGGCATTATTCTTCAAGGATTTTCCCTGTTTAGAAAGACTTAAGACTGGAATACCTTGGGTTTTATATGTCAGATTTATTGTTTTATTCCTTATTGTTATAATTTTCTTTCTTTCCAGAGATAGATTACTGTGCCTCAACTAGCCATGGATGTCAGCAGGAGTGTGTTAACGCAGATAAATCTTATTTCTGCCGTTGCCTGAAAGGGTTTACCCTGAATCCAGATAAGAAAACCTGTAAAAGTAAGTCACACTGGAGATTGGAGATGGACTTGTTCCATGAAATACCTCTCTAGCTAATTTTCCTTTCCTTGGAAATCTTAATCATGATATACTTCTTTTTAAAGGTTTTTATTATGGATTGAATGACAGTTTACAGGGCAGATCATCAGTTTTACATTCAACAGATCATTCACCTTGTTTCATTACAATGATTATAATCCCCTCTATGTACCATCAGTTAACAGTATTTCTCTATATTCACTTTAGCTCTTTTTTAAAAAAAAAACAAAACACTCAGGCATATATAATAATATAAACTGCCAAAGGGCACATTCTTCACAAGTCTGCCTCCTGGCCACCAGCTCTCAGTCCCTCTCTTCCCATGAATCTACTCCCTCTCTCCATGTCCCCATCTCTGCCTCCATCTCTGGTAGCGCTGCTTCTCTGGATAAGAAGCATGATATTTTACCTAGCATTTGTGTTTATGAAGATGGCTCTGCCCCTCGTTTTACCTTTTGGCTTACTCCATCGATCCTACTCTGGGAATGATGATTTTTATAGATTGACTAGACCAGGTGTGGCCATTGGCCTCAATAGCAAAGTCAGGGCCCAAGTGGAAGCTCCCACCTTTCAGAAATGAGAGTGCACCCTCACTCCTCCTCACTCCACAGTATGTATTTTGGATTAGAGAAAGAAATGGCTGGGCCCAGAGATGGCTGGTAGAAGGAGGTGGTTTCCTCCAGTCTTCCAAGATAAGACACGTTATGGATGCCAAGAGGGAGGAAATAAGAAGAAGTGAGTCTCTGGAGTATTCTGGCAAGATTTAAGGGGCAGGAGGTACCAGCAGGATGGTATTCATTAATGATGTGCTGAGCCTGTCATTTGGAACATTAAGAGACAAACCAGGGGTCCACATCATGGACCCCAAACAAGATCTCTTCAACCAGACTGTTCCTGAGAGACCACTAGAACAGAAAAAGTTCACATGGGCAGGGATGTTTGTATGTTTTCTCGCTGCTGAATCTTCAGCACCTCAGAGAGTGCCCAGTTATATTTAATAGTGTGGCCCAATCTTTGGTCAATGAGTCAATGAGTAAATGAATCTCTCTGAGACTTATAATCCTGGAGAAATTGCAACTATTAAATGAATAACTCAATTTTGTTAGAAAAAATGGACTTTTTTAAAATATGCAATTTGTGCATGTTTTTTTCAAAACTATTCCTGTAGCCAAGACATAATTATGCACAATGAATTGTTTGAGTTCTCCTAACAATGCCATTCACAGTATTTTCTGGAGTATGCATTTTCCTATACCCTTGTGCTGCTCTCTCCTCCTTCCTGCCCACATGCGTAGCAGAACTGAGTTTTCAAAGGTTTACCAGTATATCTCTTTTGAGCAAATTGTGGGCTGTATGACAGAATCCAGTTGAGTCACATTTGGCTCATACCACATATTAACTTCTCCACTCTTTCTAATCCATGATCCACCTTTCTAGTGGCAGATGTTTGCAGAGCCCATATTTTGAAACACCCTCACTTATAAAAGACAATTCCCACTGTTCTGCCTGGATACAAACCCTGGGAACATCCAAGCAATCGATGGGAACTTTCATTCAGAATGTGAAAACAGTGACTGTGAATAGATTATTTTCCATTAGACCACACATGCATGCAATATGAGTATGTTGGAGGCCCACTCTTCTAGCTTGGCCTCTCCTTTTGGGGCTGTTTACATGTTTTTTCGGTGGCTGACTATACCCGAGAAAAATCCCTCGTGGGTAGATTCATGTGTGGACTGAATGCTCTTCCGTAATAAAGGATAATTAGATCAGGTTCAAATCAGACCCTCATTGTGGTTGCAAGCTTCGTGGTGTGGTACTAAGGGAGAGAAAAGGAAACAAGTTAGGCACCCAGCCACTGATGGAGAGCACTTCCTTTAAACTCTGCCTCTCTTACCAATCTTCTGCAACTCCCTCAGCCTCTGCCTCTCTCTCCACACCCTGTCTGGAGAGTCACTTGGAATAAGAGGAGAATCCAAGATAGAGTACAACACTATCAAGGGAGGAGGGGGCCTGAGAACAGAAAGCAGAGTGGCACAGAAGTACCCTTCGGGAATAGTGTGACTGTCATTGGACAGCAGATGGGCCTCTTTGCAGACTGTGGCACAGTCCAGGGTCCCCAACACTCCCTCATATATATTCAGTGGTTATAGCTCCATTTCCTCTCTAGCCAGGTGCCCTAATTTTCCATCCAAGAAAAATAGAATTTCTTCCTAAAAATGGTGTCCTCATCAGCCCTTCTCCCAGTATCCTTCATCGTTACATTTTCCATTGTCTTTGCTGCGAACCCAGCCCTCTAGACTCCTGAGGTCAGCCTCACCCCCTGACTCAACGTTTGTGCTTGCTGGATTATGGCAGACAGCTGTGGATGGAAGCTGGTGTTCACTGTCGGCAGCTCTCTGGAGCATTGGTGGAAGAGGGAAGCATAGAGTTTGTTACAAAGAGCCTGAGGTCTCCTGAGTGGTCTAAACATTACAAACCTAGTGTTAATGGGAGGTGGGTGGATGGGGCTATTTTCTAATGTAATAAGAAATCCATTTTTTCAGAGGAATTCAGTGTTACTCAGTTAAGCTGGGGAAAATGTCCAGGGCAGCATCTTATTGAAGAAAAAATCTTGGCCAGAATTTGTACTTCCTCCTCCTCTGGCCACTGTTTCTCCTACCCGAGAGTGCTGTCATCAATTTAAAGCATAAATTACTAAGGCGGCAGTGTAAAGCCCAGAGACTGGCCTGGCCTGGCTGTCTAGGTGGGGCTGCAGGGCTGAATCAGCTGTGGGCACGACTCAGGAAGCTGGGCTCCAGGATGGCTCATTCCACTACCACGGTCTGGCTAGGGCTCCCTAGAGCTGGAGCTACACTGCACTTGGAAAGCAGGTGTAGACACGGCCTGGACAGAGCTGAACGATGTGAGCTCCACTCTTGGCAGTGTCTCTCAGATCTGTCATGTGACCTTGGGCAGAGCACTTTACTCCTCTGAGCCTGGATTTCCTTAACTGAAGGACGGGAATTTCCTGCATTAACATTTTGTTTGCCTGTCCAGTTTTTCTGAATCTCATTAATGCCTGGGGTCACTAATCTTTCAGGTTTCTAATGTCTTATCTTTCCAGTAAAGAGCTCCGGGTAGCAGAATAGTTAATCACTTGGCTGTTAAATGAAAGGGCTGGGTTTAAACCCTCCAGCGGCTCTGTAAGAGAGAAGACTTGGCAGTGTATCTTCATGAAGATTTCTACCAAGGAATCTCCTTAGGAGGAGTGTGTGGGGTGGGGGGGGAGTTCCACTCTGTCCCAGAGGATTGCTGAGTTGGAATCAATTCAGTGGCACACAACAACAACAATCTTCCCAGTTGGGTCTCCATCTTTGGATTCCATATTGAGCTCTACATAGAGTTGGCACTCTTAAGTACTATTTAATTTGTTACCTGACGGTCCCACCATCTGACCTCAGAGAGGTACACTGGGGACTCTGGGGCTTACCAGATAAAGCTACACCCACGCCTGACCCATGGGCACCACTTCACAGTTGGTGAAGAGACCTAATCAGATACAGGGTGCATAGTAGATACTCAATGAATATCTAAGTAACACACCCATGAAGTAATAGGACTCCAGTTCGTAAAGAAAGCTACACAAAACGTTCCAGAAAGGGCCATTTGGAATAGCTCTTTGCCAGGTAGCTGACTAATAATCTCATTAAGAATCAAAATGTTTTTCAGTTGTGTTATTTTGGGTCTAAATCTTTCTTAAAGACAACATTGGCTTTTTAAAAGAGAGTGTGCTGAAGATAAAGTCACCCCCCCCACCACACACACACACACAGCCCAGGATCCGCCCTCTGACCCTACATTAAATGGCCCCAGACGATTGGGCCCTTTACATTCTGTGTCTGCTTGTTTGTGGCTTGTGTTGGATTACCACGCTAATTTTTCTTGATGAAAAAAAAGTTCTTCTGGTAGGCCATGCTACCTTTAATATTCTTCTCCAAAACCACAACTCAAATGCATCGATTCTTCTATGGTCTTCACCTGCATATAAGGCTATTGAAAATACCATGGTTTGGATCATGCTCATCTTAGTCCTCAAACAGATATCTTTGCTCTTGAACACTTGAAAGGTCTTGTGACAGGATTTACCTAAGGTAAGGCATCATTTGATTTCTTGGCTGCTGCTTACATGAGTGTTGGTTGTGGCTCCAAGCAAAATGAAGTCTTTGACAACTTCAGTCTTTTCTCCATTTATCATGATGTTATTTTGATCCAGTTGTGAGGATTTTTGTTTTCTTTCATACTGAAGGCTATAGTCTTGGATCTTCATCAGTAAGTATTTTAATTCCTCTGCTGAAAGCAAAGCAAAGAAAAAGATACAACCTTTTCCAAGCCTCCATTCTGCCTCTTTAAAATATAGGTACTAAGAGCATATGCCTTATGATCAAAGGAAATGGGGCTTATAAAGTGCTGAGCCTAGTGCCTAGCACTTAGTAGGTGCCTAGAGGTGTTAACAACTGTGTTTATCATTCTTAACATCATTATTGGATACCTTTGATGATGGGGAGAAATTACATGATCCAATCCCTTCTCCAAAAGAAACAGAAATTGAGGCATCACACACAAAAATGTTACGTGGCCATTGTGATGAAGGCTGGAAAAAGATGGCTAATAGAAAGACCAGACTTCCTCAGGAGGTTGTGGAGGGCATTTCTGGGGAAAATAGGTGCCAGAAGATAGGGATTTACTAGGGAATGGTTGGAGTGGAGTGGAAAGGACAGGGCATTCCAGGTTTAAAGACCAGCATGAGGCCTTCACTGAAGGCCAGTGTGGCTGGAGCCCACAGAGCAAGGGGCACGAGAAGAGTCGAAATAACCAGAATGAGGCCATGCAGTACCTCCTACGTCTTTACCCTAAAGTCAGTGAGGAACAAGAGGTTGACACATGTCCCACCTCAAGTTATTGGTATATGTAAGCTCGTT